TGGACATTGGGCCCATCGCTTCCATCAGGCTCCCCAAGAGGACCCTGGCCCAGAGAGAGGAAGAGGCAGGAGTGGAGAAATTGTGCAGGACATGTCCGGGGCCGCCGGCCGCGGAAGGGGCGAAGGGCGCGGACTGGAGGGAGAAGAGGCCTGCGGAGCTGGGTGGGGCGCAGGTCCTGGGCGCAGGCTTGCTGCGGGCCGTGGAGACCGCATGCCAAGACAGGGCCATCCGCAAAGGCCAGGAGAGGAAGAACACGGCTTTGGGGACTCTGCAAGGGGCGGAGGTGGCTGGAGCCCCATCTGCTGACACAACGCCCCTCAGCTTTGCTCCGGAAATCATTAGTGCAGATATGTGTGCGAGTTTGACCTCTGGAGGCCAAGGGTCGCCGGTGGCCCACGAGGCTGGGGCGGGTCTGCTGACACTGTTGACGGCTGGCGACACAGGGCTCTCTGACACCTGGCGGCCAGCCACGTGTGGTCGGGTGACTGGCATGCACATCTCTGGTGCCGCATCACACAGATTGGAGGACGTGGCAGCTTTAGGGTCAAAGGGCACTTTCCCACAGGCAGCCAACTCTCAGGCCTGTCCCCGGGAGGGATGGGCCAAGGCCTCCTCCAAACGTGCTCCTCCAGACTCCTTCTGGAAGAAACGAGAGCCCACTTCCTGGTGGCGTCCATTACTGCACGCGCCGTCCGGGACCCCGCATGGGCCCGGACCGTTTTCAGAGGGGTTGGCGGTGCCGCGCTGGGAATCCACGCTGCAGCGGCACCCAGAGGAATCCTGCGGGGAAAGCCAGAGGAGATGAGCCAGGAGCAGGATGCAGGCCGGCCAGGCAGAGGTCCTCAGGGACGGGGTCTGCGCAGGCCGGGGGCAGGGCAGCCCCGGGGCAGCTGGCCTGGCGGACCTGCAGGACAGGCCACTGCAGCAGCGACGCCTCCCCATAGGAGCCACCACGCGAGACACTGATGGGCTCTGACTGGGTCCCGGCAGCCTGCCCCTCCCCCAGGGCGGTTGCCATAGCCACTGTCCTGGCAGAAGCCATGGGACACTGGATTGGGACGACAGCCGACACCTAAGTCCTATCTGCCCACTCCCGGAACTTTGCCTGTGGGCCACAGGGGGCCTGAGCCATGCCTTCCCCCGTACAACCAGAGAGCTGGGGACCGCTCCCCCGCGAGCTTGTGCCCCAGGGAATTCACGGAAGTTTGTCCGTATCTTCCGTCGTTCATCATCTGTCTATTGTCTATCCCCCCTCATTTATCTATCCATCGGTCATCTATTACCTACATCATCCATCCATCTTTTCCCAGATCCCTTCCTGAACTGTGAATCCCGGCTTGACAGGGAGTCCGGAACCCAATGAGCCGTGCGGTGGCCTTGGGAACGTCCGGTCCCCGGCGCGGATCCCTCCAGGACTCCGATCCTCCTGTCCAGGACCCCAGGCTGCCCCCACTCTAAAAGCGGACCTCGCTCACTGAACTACGTTTGTGGACCCCTGGGGAGCCCCCCTTCCATGACCTGTAGAGCAGGAGGCATCTGCAAAGCTGGCCTGGCAAAGCCACCTGTGCCCGCCCCCCACCACTCTGGCGAGGGGCCCCTGAGAACCAGGGGCGCTTCCCCCGGCCCCAACCTCCGGGGCGGCCCCTCAGGCCCAGGCTGCTTCCGTCCCATGCCTTTGCACTGCGGCACTGAGAAAGGAGGCACCGGCTGACAATTTGTGTTGCTGTCAGGCTGGCTGTTCCTGGGGGGCACCTTCAAGCGCAGGAGAGGTCTGGGGCCAGCGGGGAAATGTGTTCATTCTCTGGGCACACGATTTCCAACCAGATTTTGAGCCCCGGTTTTTTTTATTTTATTTTATTGATTCCCTTCTACTTTTCTGAACAAATTAGTCTGTAATTTTTTATTTTTTCCCATTTATGGCTGACCCTATGGGATTTATGAGGCCGTGTGAGAGGAATTATGTATTTTACACGCACACGTTCGGCATGGCAATAAATCTCCCACGTGGACACCCTGCAGCTCTGCCTCCAGGCCCACGGTCTCCCGTCCGGCCGCGGGGGGAGACGCTTGCATGGCACTGCGGCCGAGCTTGAAGCCGGAGCCAGGGCCTCGCGACAGGGCCTCGCCCGGGTGACCTCCAGGCCGCAGTGTCACTGGACTCATCTCCCAGCCTGTGGTCCCGTGGCCCCGAGGGGGACTAACGAGAATCCTGCCCCCCTCCCGGGACAGTGGGTCCTGAGGGAGGTGGCCTATGCAATGGCCGGCTGCCGAGCTGTGTTCACCGAGGTGGCAGATGTCTGTAATCCCAGCCCACGTGACGCACGCAGGGCCCAGGGCTTGGGCGTTCAGATGTATTGACCCAGCAAGCCTTTGCTATCGGGATGCCTCCCGTCCCGGCCTCACCGAGCTCGCCTTGGCTCCGATCCCCGGTAACCTCTTGGGCCAATAAATCTTGATACCTGCCTCCAGAGAAGTCATTATCTTTCATAGAAAATGATTATTTCTCAGTTAAACCCCACATTTAATTTTCCTGTGATCTGTCTCTTTCAGCTTCCCTGCTTCGCGGCCCCTCCTGCATAAACTGCCCAGGGACCTGGCCTCGGTGCTTGAAATCCCCGATTATCAGACCAGCTTTACGAGAGCCTTTCCTTTCTTACTCTGCGTGGCCGTAACAGCCACTCTCATAAAACGGAAATGAAGGTCGTGAGGGCCACTCCGGAGCGGGGGTGCCATGCACTCAGGATCCATTTAGTTGGTGTCTTCCCATGCAAAGGGGGTCGACTCCCTGAGCTGCTGGCCACCCAGATGGGGCCGGGTCCCCACGGGGCCAGGGTTTCCTGCAGCTGGGCACGAGGCTGTCTGGGGAGTGCCCAAACAAAACCCAGCCCAGGAAGCCAGTCCCGGTCCCCACTGGCTCCCAGGCAGGGTCCGGGTCCCAGAAGAATGCCTGCAAGTCCCACATCCGTCCCCGTGGTCCTTTGTCCGATGCCCACACGATGCCCTCGAACACCAAACTGCTTCTCGGCGTCTGTCCCCCAAGCAGCCTGTCCTTTGCCCCAAGCAAAGGCTCCTCTCTAATGACCCATGAGCACAGCTGGGAGAAGGCTGGTGGCATTCATAAAACTTGATTGCAGTCTTGGGAACAGGACATCTGTCTCCCTCTCTCTCACACTCCTACCCCGCCTCCTGGCCCTCCCCTGGGGCTCTGCTCCCTGTGTGTGGGAACCCCAACCAGCCCAGCTTACCCGCCGAGTTCCAGACGCCCACTAGCCGGAGGCCTGACACCTCCCTCAAGGATCCAAAACAAACTCCTGATTTCCTCTCTCCCCCTCCAAAGTGCTCTCCTGCCCCTCCCCCACCGCCTTACATCTCCACCGAGGGCAACTGGCCAACACCCCCGCAGGCAGACTGAGCCCTCTGTCTCACACTCTGGATCTGATCCACCACCTGTCCTACCTTCAAAACACCATCAGCACCACCACCCACCCCTTGCCTGAGGGCCACCACCACTTGGAGGGCTGTGACAGTCCCCACAGGTGTCCCGCTGCCCCTCCTGCCCTTCTACCCAGCAGCCAGAACCACATCCCTAGCTCAAAATCCCCCTCTGGGCGCCACCACTTTCAGAGTCAAGGCCCTGGTGTGCAGCCTGGCGAGGGGGGCCCCTGTGGTCTTGCCCCCAGCTGTGTCTCTAGTTCTCTGTTCTTCCGGGCTCGCTCTCACCCAGCTATGCCAGCCTCCTTGCTGCTCTTCCAACAAGCCTACCTCAGGGCCTTGGCACGCGCCCTCCCTCTGCCTGGGCCGCTCATCTCCTCCTCCACCCGAAAACCTTCTCTGAGAGGCCTCCCCCTTCTCTATGTACAACAGTCCCCTCTCCCAGGCCTGCTTTACTGCTTTCTATAGCACTTTCTCTCTCTCTCTCTCTCTCTCCTGGAAGGCAGAACGGGGCGGGGCGGGGGCGGGGCGGTCCGCTTGTCTCCAGTGCTCAGCAGGCGGCAGAAACCCAGTAAATGCTGGTAAAGGAAAGCAGGATAGCACGTGGTGAGAGAGAAAGCAAAACCTTACACAGAAGGTTAGGGAAGAAGGTTAGAGAGCAGCCCGGAAGGTTTTCACAATGTAAAGGGCAGAGAGATGATTGCGTTGGTATAAATGCAGTGTAAGTTCAAATCCTATCATTTAAAGCTAATCATCGTAAGATCGAGGTCGCCTGGAACAGAACTGGAACTTCCAGGACAATGGTTGACAGCAGCTGTTGGCTCTGTGATCCGCTTCCTGTCTTTGCTTTGGTCAGTTAAAAGAAGGTCTACATATGCGGAACAGTTAGGGATCGCAATTTAAAAGCCAGGTCTCCCGCGTTGAATTAAGCAAAGAGCCACGTGAAGCTTTAGTTTCTAGGTTTGCAGAGAGGCCAGCTGTGGTCCACTACAAAATTGTTTAGCGCCTGAACGCATCTGAGTTTGCATGGGTGTTTCGCTACATTTTCTAAGAGTTAGACTCTCACATTAAAATGTCAAGGTCAGGGTGGGAGACCCACTGAAACGCCATGTAGCTCTGCCAGATAAAACACCGGACGCCTAGTTACATGTGACTTTCCGATAAAGAGCGCACCGTTTTTGTCTAAGCGCGTCCCCGCTCTGATACGCCAATTGAAGGGGATACACTTAGACTTAAAAATGATGCGCTGTTTATCGGAAATTCACACAACTAGGCTTCCTGAATTTGCATTTTCTAAATCTGTTGACTCTTCCCCAAGGTGGAGGAGGGGAGCCTTCTACGGACGAGGCCACGGCGGTGGGGGCGTGCCTGATTGGCGTGGGCGGAGTCGTAGGCGTAGGAGAGGCGCCGCTAAGCGCTCTGGGGGCCAGGGGCGGGGCCTGAAGGGGCTCCTGGAAGGCGGACCAGACGGCCCTGGGCGGGACTGGGGGCGTGGTCCCGCGCTCGGGGCGGGGCCGGGTGCGCGTGGAGCACGTGACGGTGGTTGCCAGGGTGAAAGGTCAGGTGCCGCGGCACTCCCAATATGGCGGCGGCCGGGGTGGTGGTGGCGGAGGCGGCGAGCAGTCCGGAAGCCCCGGTGGGGACGGCGGCCCGAGCCCGGCGCCAGCCCTCGGTACGGCCCGCACGGCTGCCCCCGCTGCTCGTGCTGCTGGCGGCGGCGGCGGGGCCGGGCGCGGGCGCCGCGGCGCGGCTGTACCGCGCGGGCGAGGATGCCGTATGGGTGCTGGACAGCGGCAGCGTGCGCGGGGCCACGGCCAACAGCTCGGCCGCGTGGCTGGTGCAGTTCTACTCCTCGTGGTGCGGCCACTGCATTGGCTACGCGCCCACCTGGCGGGCCCTGGCCGAGGACGTGCGAGGTGAGGTGCGCCCCGCGCGGGACCCCGACGCTGGCCCGGCCTGCCCCCGCGGCTCCCGGGATTCGCCCCCCGGCCCGCGGCAGCTTCCTCGGCCCTTTTCCCTTGCCTTGCAGGGGCACGCCGCTTCGGCCACCGCTGGCCTGTGCCCTGGGTCCCCTAGACTGCCTCCCCCATGGGTTCCTTCCGGGAAAGCTGCTGTCTCAAGTCGGAAAGACAAGAACCCTCCTTCCTCAGCCGTCATTCCACAGCTGGGGACAGAGGGCCCTCCAAAATCCCCCAGCTCTCGCAACACCTAATTTGAGCCGTGGAAAGCTTCTCTAACTCCCCAGGCCTTTATCCTGCCTGTTTCCTGACTCAGAGCCCGTTCGCAGTCAATCTACTTCAGTGCCTAGAATCCCCTTTCTTTGAGGATCCGCGTTTCAACCCCAAGTCGCTTTCCCTTTAAATCCTTCTTCATCCTCTTCTGGGAGGGCTAGCGGACCCATGGTGGATAGTCAAAGTGAGCCCCCAACTCAGACACCGAGAGGCAGCATTTCATTGGGAGGTTCCTTGTTCATAGACACGCCGCCTTTGGTAGCTGCGTAGTGGTGATGTACCTGCACTGACTTCATTGTCCGCCGCTGTGATCTTGCTGCAAACGGTTAGTTCCCAAGCGCCTGGCCCGCTCTGAATGGCTGAGCTGTGGCAGCCTCCTGCCCGCGAGCCGGCCGGCTTTGAAACCGGATGTAAATTGCTCTGAAGTAGTTGCTGGTCCCAGCAAGAGTGAGGTTTGGCAGGACTCTCGCTGCTGTTGAGCTAACCTCTAATTATGTATTTCAGTGGGCAAGAGGGTAGCAAATTGCCGGGCTTCCTTCCTACTTTTGTTTTTAAGTCTTATATCCAACCCTGTTGTAATTTTCCCGTATCTGAACTGATTCAGAACCTTTAAAAGAAGTCAAAATAGTGGTTTTTGTAAAAAAAAAAAAAAAAAAAAAAAAAATTTTCTTTATTAATTTTAAAGAGAGGAAGAGAACATCAACAGGTTGCCTTTTGCGTGCCCCCTGCTGGGGACAGAACCTGCAACCCAGGCACGTGTCCTGAGTGGGAATCAAACTGTTGACCTTTTCGTTTGCTGGATGACACCGAACCAACTGAGCCACACCAGCCAGGGCCAAAATAGTATTTTTGTGTATAATTGTAAATGATTATCTTTAAGGTACATTCTCCTCTTAGCTCAGGGTGTTGAGACTTTTTAATTCTAAAGGGTTTGTTCTTTGATCATCTAACGTTTTAAGTCCCCAGTGTTGTACACTGGTCACAACTGAGACCAGAGACTAAAAAGGTGGACAGAGAGCTGCTTGGAATTTTCTTTTTTAAGCCTTTGCCTTGAGGACAACCAAGCGCTTTAATAATATAGAGAACTTTTTGGTTCTCATTTGTTACTTGGTGAGTGAGCACACATGGCACTTAAAATGCAGGTAGCACTGATAAGACATTTGTCACCTATTTTTTGCATATTTTGATTTTTTCAGTTTAGGTTTTAAAATACAGAAATCGTAAAGTATGATTAAAATACTGCAAGCTATTCCACAGTCGAGCCAGCACTTAAGGGTCCTTTAACATTGTCCGTGGAACTTGGAGGTGACGTGTGAAAGTGAACTGTCAGATCCAGGCCAGGCGACATGATTAACTTAACTCTTAGCTAAATAAGGTTATCATAAGAAGGTTGGGTGTGGTCCGAGTCTGGGCTCTGGGCCGGAAAAGCGAGGCCTGAGACAGGAGGCAGGCAGGGCTGGAAGCGGGAGACAGCTGCGGCCCGAGAGACAAGGGAGGCCAGAGCGGGGTGCGAAGGGATGGGTCTGTGGGGGCCCAGGCAGAGGGTCCCAAGCGCCCAGCCACCTGCGGGGCTGCCTGAGCACCAGCTCTGAGGAGTGTCCCACTTGGGGATTGGTCAGGAATGCGCATGGTGGGCCCCGGCCCTTGGGGCCTTGGGGGGGTGGGCGGGGGGCCCTGAGCCTGGTGAGCATTGGCCTCCCCGCTGTGCCCCCACCATCGCTCCTCGCTGGCCTCCTCCGCCCGCTTAGAAGGCGCAGAAAGCCCTAGGACAGAATGCCCCAGGACGGGGGAGGCGGCTCTTCCCTGCTGGGCAGAGCCTCTCTGGTCACAGCTTAGGGACCCTGGTTTTCCTGGATTTGGATTGAACTTTATCTCTTCCCAGACATAATAAATGCTTTTCCAGATAAGAAGGTGGCTTGACAAACAGAAGGCCTACTGTTGGGTGTAGCCAGATGTCACGCCTGAGTTTCTGTGGATCTGGCTCGGGCCTGCCGCTTCTAAGGACGCGTGCCAAGCAGAGTCCCGCTGTGCCCCTCGAAACCCCCGCACCGGCTGCGGTGCCAGTGCCGGCCCTGCTTGTCCGCTGCTCCCGTGACTGAACATGGAGGTGGCCGTGCCAGGCTGGCCCCCTCCCCTGAGACAGCTGGGAAATGTCTGCACAGACCGATTGACACGGGGAGGGCCCCTTTGGTGGCCACCGCGTCCTTGGTGCCTGTTCTCACCCCAGGGAAGCGAGAGCTCATTCCTGGGACTGGCCCGGGAGCTGTGCAGGAGAGCGTGGAGGGGGGCCGAGACCTGGCGGGCCGTCACTGCCACGCACACATGTCCTCCTGTCCACTCGTGTCGCGGATGGCAGCACCGTGAGGCCTGGTGAGGCCGAAGCGTCCACTGGTGGTCCCACGGCCGAGTGCCAGGCTCAGCGATTGCCTGCAGAGGACGGGGTGGGAGCGCCCATCTTGCTGCCACGTGGTGTCTGCCCTCAGCCCTGCCTCCCTCTGAACGCTCCATCGTTTGGTTGGGACTTGGTGTCTGCGTGGCCAGGCCACAGCCTTGGTGACAAACCGGGGCACTCCACATCCCCATGGGCCCAGTGTCTGTTCCCCAGAAGAAGGAACGGGGGTGTGGGGGAGGGTGGGGCACGGAGGACAGCAGGAATGGCCTGCGGGACTTGGCTGGGTGGAGAGCGCAAGAGGACTGCAGGAGCGCGCCTGGGCCGCGGAGGGGCCGGGCGGGCTGGAGGCCCAGGCGTGCCTGTGGGCCCCCAGGCTCCTCGGAGGCGGGAAGCTCAGCCCCCTTGAGGGGAGGAGGCTGGGCCACGAATGCTGCCAGCCCTGCCTCTGCTCCAGAGGTGCACCGGACTTGTTCTCCAAAGCTTTCCCGTCACCCGTGCCGTGGCGCCTCAGCGCTTGACTGGGGTGCCTGCCAGGGCCCTGTGTGGCAGGACGGAGTTGCGCCTCTCTGCGCCGAACCTGGCCCAGCGGCCCTGTCCTGGCCCCCGCCCTGGGCGAGGCTAAGCGCACGAGCCTGGACTCTCCGAAAGGGCGAGCCCTAGGTGGCGGGTGTTGTTTCTCTGCATTGGTGTCCTAACTGAACGTGGGTCCGCCTGCCGCCGCCACTTCGAAAGCCAGTGCTCTGGAGGCAGGTGCTGCTGGGAGGAGCGGGGTGTGACTCCGGCGCCGCCCCCGGAAGATGGGGGCCTCTTGTCTTGGGCTCGGGCGGCCTGGCTAGTTTATGTGGGGGAACCGTGGGAAGAGGGGAGGGAGGGATTTCTGGCGATGCACCTTCTCAGCTCTGTGCGGGGTGTTTCGCTCCCTCTTCCCGAGCGTCCTCCAGCGTCCTCGTGAGGGGCCCCCCGCCCCCTGCAGGGCTGCTGCCGGCCTCTGGGGACAGGACCTGCAGGCAGCATCGCCGCTGGTCCTGTTACGAGTCGCTGGTGCTTGCCTGACTTCCTGTGGTCTGGGCCCTTCCTTGGCTGAGCAGGAGACACAACTGCTGCTGTCTGTAAAATACTCACAAGGAGACTTTTGATACACTCGTCTTCCGTGAGTGAGTGAGTGAGTGCAGCCTATTCTGGGGTGGCTGGCTGATGAGTATGTTCTGTTCACGTCAACCGTGGGTACAGGACGTGAGCTGAATTTCCGTCCCGGTGTTTGCTGTGGCTTGAACTTGGAGCTTATCCAAAAAGACCTTTGCTCAGCTGGGAAGGGGCCCACGCCAGGGGAGAGACTGTCCCCGCCCTCTGGGAGGGAACCCTGCTGTCCCCTGACGTTGCCCGGGGACAGAGGAGCTGTGGCTCGGTCCCACGCCGCAGAGACACATGGGCTGCGCGTCCCCTGCACCCGAGAGCTCAGTGAGGCCGTGCTCTCATCGCAAGACTTACGCAGGTTTGACCGCAGATCAGGCTTTTATAGACATTTTCATTGGAATTTGGCAAGTAACAGTAAAAGGTTTAATCCAATTGGGATAAATAATATGGTTATTTGGCAAGTAAACTTGAAATAAATTTTAGTCTACTACCTTTGGAAGCTTCATTATTTCACAAGTACTGTTGGAAGTCAGTGGTACTAAAAATAGGCTTGTGAGTGGCAGTGAGGACTGTGCCACCGCCACTGCCCGTGGGGTCCCGGCGGGCAGCCCGGAGCCTCCCAGCCGGGGCGCGCCCACACGCAGCTGGGCGTGGCCTGAGCCGTGAGCGCAGATGACCCGCCAGTTCCGAGTGGTGGTCCCCTTTGTGTGGTGGGATCCAGGCAGGTGGGACAGACAGGAGGAGGGGAGGGTCTGCATTGAATGAGGGAAATGCCCTGGAGCAGACCTTTGAAATGGCTTGCATTTTATTTGGGAAAAGAGAGTGTCTCTCTTTTGTGTTCCCTGAATGCACCCATCTGCCCCGAGACTTGCGGGACTGAAATCCTCCCCATCCGCGCTGCTGCGTTTGGTGGCCTCCCACAGACCAGACGGGCCTTCTTTCAGAGGCAGACAAAGGCCTGGGGAGTGTCAGCGAGCCCCGCACCAGGACAGCCACCCCTTTCTGAGGGGCGTGCATGTGGAGTGGCGGTTGCAGGCGGACTCCTGGACTCTCAGGGGTCCTAGCGGCTGGGCAGGCGTGGCCCCCACACCGGCCTGTCCCTGTGGCTGCGCTCCAGCAAGAGTGGAGTCTGGGGCCCGCTCTGCGGTGATTCACAGGCCGCGTCCCCAGCGCTCGCCTGCCGGACGCACTGTGGCAGGCGCAGAGAGCAGTGACCAGCGGGCACGCCCACGTGAAGGTGCCGCTCGGGAGGAACGGACAGTGAGCAGGAAACGGTGTGAGCAGGTTGGCTGGCTGCAGGTGATGAGTCCTGGGGAGTCACGGGGGGTGGGGCTCCCCCGGGGCCGTGGAGGAAGGCCTGGAGGTGGGGCACAGCAGCTAAATGAGGGGGCCCCCCGGGGAGGGAACGCATGCACCAACGCCCTGAGACGGGGGGGGGGGGAGCCAGGTCTGCCGTGTCCGAGCGCTGGTGGGGGCCGGGCGTGGGAGCAGTGAGCAGCCCCAGGCTCACAGGCGGGCAGATGGGGTTCTCATCCCTGAGCGGCACGAAGGGTGAGCCGGACTCAGTGAGCGTCCTGTGACCTGGCCTCCGGCTGCCCCCTGGGGACCTGGGGACCAGACACCATCAGGGCCGCTGCTGGGGCGCGGCGAGGGGCTGTGGGCACTCATGCCAGGGCGTCTCCGCGGGCTGTTCCGTCCACGGCCCCACGGCCCCAGGTGGCCTGTCAGGTTCACTCTGCACTCGTGTGGGCTGCGTTGGAGGGGTGGGCCGTGGCCTTTGCCAGTCGCGCAGGACGGGCTGTGTGTGGAGCCCGCGCACGGGTGAGTGTCCCCAGGGTCTCGTTCACGCCGGGGCCCATGGTGTGGGTTTGCGGCTGCGCTCTGAGGGCACGCCGTTCCGGCGGGAGTAGGCAGTCGGCTGCACCCCTGTGGCATCCCAGGGTTCTCCTTTTGTGTTTTTAAGCCACCGGCCCTTGGACCTTGCTTCAAAGGGCAGGTCTGGCTCCTGGATGTCACGGAGCTTTGGAGGCCGAAACCCAGGTTGGTAGCTGGTGTGCCCAGCGTCCACTGTCCCTGCAGGGGCCTCTGTGGCCAGACCGTGCCTTGCCATGCGCGCCGTCCCCGCGGGAAGGCAGCCGACCCCCCCAGGGCTGGTGCCCCCGGGAGGGGAGCTGGGTCCTCACTTCTGGGAGCAGAGGATCAGGAGCCCTCTTATGGTTGCATTCTGGGAGGGCTGCCTGGGACAGCCGGGCAGAGGTGGCAGGTCAGCGGGTGACCTGGGCAGTCTGGGCTGGGGTGGGGCATCGGGGGGAGAGCGGGCAGTTCACAGGCTATGGGTCAGCCCTCCACCCCAGCCCAGACCCGTGGGGACTTGGATGAGGGAGAAGGTCGCTGCTCCGTGATGATCCGTGCCCTGGCCTCCCAGATCTCCGGGGCCATGGGGGTGGTATGTGTTCACGTGAGCGGACGCAGCGGGTGTGAGCACGCGGGGTGTTCTGGTGCCCGGGGGGTGGGGCGGGGGCCGACCGGGAGACGTGCTGCCTCGGGCTGAGGGCCAGCGCGACCGGAGCTCCCGTTCTGGAGTGGGCGCCTTCTCGTGCGCCCGGCCGCTGCGTTCGGGGGCCGAGCTGTGGGGTGCAGGGCCAGCGGCCGTCTCTGTCAGGCACGTGCTGCGTCAGGTTGGGAGAGTCGTGGGAGTGGCTGTCACCACCCTGCTCAGGGTGAGATTCTGTCCGGCAGCGCCCCACCCCCAGTGTGGGGACGCGCGCACTTCACTGGGTGCTGTCTGAAGTCTCCTTGTGCTGGGAACAGCGCGAGGGGCAGAAACGGAGAGACAGGCGAGTGAGCGCGTGCACACGCAGGGCCGGTGCCCACAGGCCCCGGAGGGAGGGCGTCCTCGCGTTCAGGTTCCTAAGTAACACACGCTGACTAAAGAACATCTGGAAACCAGACAGTGGGGCCCGGTCCCACCGTGTGGAGTGAGTCTCTGGACCCGAGGGTGTTCGCCGGCTGCCCGGCCTCTGGGCCGGCCTGACGTGGCTGTGGGCCGCTGTGTGCGCTTGTCCTTGTCCACACATCCTTCTGGGCGGGGCGGGCAGGGCAGGGCCACGTCCCTGCACTTGAAAGGAAGGTGTGCGGTGGGAATTCCCAGCACTGCGGACGCCGGACGTCCGTGCGGTGGCCGGGAGAGGCGGCGGACGTGGGCCTCTCTGACGCAGGTGGGGGAGGAGTGGAGGGGACAGGCTGGACGGGGCCGCGGACGGCGAGGGCTGCCCCTCGCTGGCTCTGCGCTGTGCCACCTGCTGCGTGTCTGCGTCCGCGTATTAGCTGTCCTTCCTCAAGCCTATGTAACCTGAGCCTCCCGAGGATGTGACCTGTGCTTCAGGAGGGTCTGTGACATTTTTTTTCCATCCATTAAAATGGTCTCGGAACAGGAATCAGTTTTACCGAGGCTCGTAATATTTGGTCGTGGCTGGTAAAAAACACGGCTTTGTTCTTTAACTCGACCCTTTGCGTTATATTAATATTGGCTAATTTTTTGCAATGACAGAAGAAAGGCATGTGCATGTTTAAGCAGAAGTGGCGCTTTAGGTGAAAACAGCTGTTACTGAGCTGGGGTTGCGCAAGTCTCCACGTCCGTCTGGGGCTGGGGCGGGGGCTGGGCGGCGTGACCCCCTCCCGGGCCTGTTTCCTGCCGTGATCGTAGGCCGCAGCAGAGCTCAGAGGGGACGCGCTGGGCCTGGCCTTGCCCGCGTTCCTGGCCTAGCCGGGCACGTGGGGCAGGGCCACCGTGACGGGCAGCTGCGAGGCCACTCAGAAGTCACAGCCGCGGCAGGGGCCCGTCGTCCTTGGAGAGCCTGGGTCCCCACTGCTGCTTCGTGTGTCTGCAGAGGCCACCCGCTGCCCCGTGGGTCCCCTCCCCTAGGCAGGGCAGGCAGGCAGGGGCGTTTAGGAAGGAGTCCCTGGCGGTGTGGTCCCTCTTAGCATCCTACCGAAAAGGGACGCACTTCTTAAAGGGAAAACAAAAGGAGTCACCTCTGGAGCACGTCAGAGAGCCGTTCCTTTGAAACTGAAACTGGTGACGGAAGGGGAAGGGGTGGGCCGGTGGTCCCTCCCCTGTGTGAGCGGCGCCTGGAGGTTGCCACGCGGCTGGCTGTAGCCCTTGGGAGTTGAGGCTTTCAGGGGCGGTCAGTGAGGAGGGGCCGGTGGGAGTGCGCACGCCCCGGAGGACTCGGAGACGGGTCTGAGGCGGGTACGGAGTGCACAGAGTCGGGGCCGAGTGTGGGCAGCGGGGCCCCGCTGGTGAGAGACCGCAGTGCCTAGGGTCCGGGTCCTGCCAGGAGCAGGGCGGGGCTTGGGGGACGGGCGGCAACAGACCAGGCGTGTCTGCCAGTTGCAAGGAGCAGCCTCATTGGGACCTGATTTTAAACAAGCAGTTGAAGCAAAAACGAGACAAGTGGGGAGCTTTGAACCCTGGCTGGGTGCTTGCTGCCGCTGGAGTGTGTCAGGGGCTCTGGGTGAAGAGCCTTGTCCTTGAGAAGTGCAGATGGCGGGGGCGGTGCTGGAGGTGGGCGGGCGTTCGAGTGGGGGAGGCCGGCCCCCCGCCCCACCGTGGACGGGGACACAGGGACACGCGGGCTGTTATGTGGTGGACTCTGGGTCACGCAGATGCTGGGAATTCTCTGTAATCAAAACTGTGAAGGTGGAAAAAATATATGTAAGTGTTTAAACTGCTCCCTTTCTGTCCCCAAGAGTGGTGGCAGCCCCCGTGGGTTTGCGGGTGGCATGCTGGGAGAGCCCTGGGGACCACTTCCAAGGTGCTGGCCCGTCCCGGTGGGCGCGGGGGGACGTTCCAGCAGAGCAGCCCGGGTGCGGAGGGCGCGGAAGCCCCATCGCGGAGGGGACCGCAGCCACAGCCGCAGCAGGAGGCATGGGCGATGGCAGTTCAGCAAAGCCCATCGGCTGCTGTCGCCAGGGTGGGGACACAGCCCCGCTGGGGGTCGAGGTTTGTCCTTCTTCCCAGCTGGACGGGGACTGTCCTGCACCTGGGAGGGCTGGGGGGCCGGCCAGCCCACGCCCACCCGCAACGCTGAGGGCCCCACCCTGCGTTCCAGACTGGGCCGCCGCGATCCGAGTCGCTGCCCTAGACTGCGCGGAGGAGAGCAACCATGAGGTGTGCCAGGCCTACGACATCCACTTCTACCCCAGCTTCCGGGTGAGTGCGCCCACCGCCCTGCCCGCGCCCGACCCCCAGGCCCCCAGCACCGCAGGCTGGCCCTCGAGGGCAGTAGGCACGTGGGCGTGCCTCCGGGCGCCGGGTGGGAATTGTTTGCAGGGCGACCCCCTTTGTCCTGCCCGAGGGGCTGGGCCGGTCACTGTGGGGTCGGCACTGTGTGCCCTGCGGGTGGGTCTGGGGTCTCCCTGCCCGGCGCTCCCTCCACCCCCACGGTGGCCCGTGTGAGGCAGCCACTGTGTGCGCCCCGCATGCCCATCTGTCCGGTGCCCACGTGACCCCTGTGCGGCGTCCAGCATGCTGCCCTGAGCGGTCTGCTTGGACCCCCGATGGGTCTGTGCCCATCTCTCCACTAGGGGGCGGGGGGCCGTGCTTGCGCCCGCGGGCCGTGCGCGTGTGCCATCGCTCGCCTGCCCACGAGCGAATCGCTGTGAGACTTGCGGCTCAGCAAACTGCCAGCTCCGAGGAAACGTCGGGAGGACCCCCGCCCCCCACCGCCCCAGTGCAGCTCTCCACCCGCTGGGCGCGGCTGCCGCCCAGCCCGCCCCAGGCCCTGGGGTGCTGTCCCCGGCCCTCCACGGAGCCTGGCTGGGCTGGCCAGGGACAGCGACCCGTCCATGTGTGTGGCCCCGTGGCACGCTGTCTGTGGCACGTCGCTCACGTATTTGCCCGTTTCCTCTTGGGCCGTCTGTCCATTTCCGATTCCCAGGAGTCCTCGGTGCGTTTGCCGTGCTTGGCGCCTTCACTCGCGAGTGTGGGCCGGGCCTCGCCCCAATCGTGACTGCCTCCAGCATGTCTTTTCCAGGGGAAGGTATTTCATTTTCATAGGAAATCCTTCCTGCTGCTCAGAGACACTCGTTTGGGCCTGTCCGCCTCCCTGGAAGGCCCTTGCGGTGCTAGGACGGAGCCGCCGGGGCAGGCAGGCGCGTCTGTGAGGGTCTGGCCCTGCAGGGTCGGGGCGGTAAACGCAGGGTTTGCGTGGGTGCTGCGCGCCCCTCGAGCGCCGGCCTTGGGGCCGCCGGCAGGCCCTCCGGGGGACGGCAGCTGAAGCTCTGTCGCGGGAGAAGGAGGGTCGCTCTGCTGCTTAAAGATGGACGTTGACAGAGACACCAGACGCGGCTGCTGCTTATTTGTTCTGTTTCCCTCGTAGTATTTTAAAGCCTTTACCAAGGACTTCACAACTGGGGAAAATTTTAAAGGTAAGCTCGTAAGCAACGTGTCTTCCTCTGAGATTTGCCTGAAAGCCCATCAGAGTAGATAAAACACGGCCGCCCGGCGGGCCGTCCCCTGCCCACCTCCCCCGCTGCCCGCAGCCCACCGGCCGTCACCTTCGGGAGCTCAGGCCTGCGCAGGCCCAGCAGGAAGTTTTCACCGTGGGCTCTGCCCCCCAGGCAGACGTGGTGCTGACGTTTTTTTAAGTAAATTTTGTAATTGAAAAGAACAGTGGAGGAGTCACCCGGTGAGTTTTACGAGTGAGCCCACCTGGCAGTCAGTGTCCCGATCAGTGACTGGTCGACTCCCAGGGGACAGCGTTCTCAGCAGGGGCCGTCTGGCTGGGGCAGACCTGGCATGGGCGGAGTCAGGCGCGTGCTGCCCGCTCACCCTGGGGCGCACGGCCTCCTGCCGTGAGATTCCCATCGCCGGCTGTGCCGTGCTCGGTGGGGGTGGGCTGGGCTGGGCTGGGCTGGGCGCAGTGCGGTGGGCACCCCGTGATGGCGGCTGCTCCCCCAGGGCCCGACCGAGAGCTGCAGACAGTGAGACAGGCCATGATTGATTTCCTGCAGAACCACACAGACGCAAGCTGGCCTCCTGCCTGCCCGGCGCTGGATCCAATTCGGTGCGTAGTCCGTAAGAAGAGGGGCCCGTTACAAGTCGGATTTAATTCTGCACAACGTAGTTGTGCATTACGTGGAGTGGGCCCTGGTATCTGATGGCCAGCTCGTAGTTCTTGGAAGCACTAAAAGCCTTTTTTTCCTCTTAAAAGGCCCAGTGATGTTCTTTCTCTCATGGACAAGCGCGACGGCCGTTACGTGGCTGTCATATTTGAGAGCAACGGCTCCTATGTTGGGCGTGAGGTACTGTGCCTGCATCTCGCCCAGGCCCACGGTGTGGCCTGGGCCTGGGGCGGAGTCCTGGGTGGTGGGAAGAGCTCCGGCGGTTGTCACTCGTGGGTCAGCAGGTTATGGAGCAGAGTGGGGGGGGGGTGTCCCTGAGGGCAGGACGGGAGCCCACGTTGGGTGTGGGGCTCACGGGGAAGGGGACCCGGCAGGCCTGGAGGTGGTTCTTGACTCGTTGTGCCCTGTGGTCAGGATTTTTTCCCCTGAATTCTGAATTCAGTGCTTCTTCTAAACCCAAAGGTCTGTAAGATGTGTTTCTGTCACCAGACTGTGCTCTCTTGTCACTGTGGGTCTGAAGCCTCTGCCCTTGGCAGCCCCAGGAAGGTCCGGGGACCCGACACTGGGGCGGACGCCGGAGCCCTCAGCTCTGCCCTCGCTGAGCCCCGCCCTGGGCTCGAGCATGCGCCTCCTTTTTCCTCGGCCCCTGCCTGGGCTCGCCGGGCTGTCTGCGAGCCCCGGGAACGAAGGCGGGGAGCAAGGCCGTGTGGCTCTCTGGGGTGTGGGTGGCCTCCAGGAGGCAGGCACGCGCGCGGGGGTGCGTGGCCACACGCGTCAGGGGAGGCTGAGGGTGGGGCGGGGCGGGGCCCGTCCGTGCTCGCGGCGTGCGGTGTGCGGTGAGGCCGGCTTCCGGAGGGCGCACCTGCGCGGGCGGCGCGGCACAAGTCCCCTGGCAGGTGCCCTCTGTGCGCCGTGAGGTCCGGGACCCAGGGTAGCCGACGGTCCCCTGTGGCGTGGCACTGCCCGGGGACTGTGCCGCAGGCAGCGGAGGTAACTCGGTCTCCCCACCCCAGGTGATTCTGGACCTCATTCCCTACGAGAATGTTGCTGTGAAGAGAGCGCTGGACACTGACCAGGCCTTTCTGGAGAAACTCGGTGTTTCCTCCCTTCCTTCCTGTTACTTGATTTACCCAAATGGTTCACACGGGTTAATTAACATGTAAGTGCAGTTTGGCCTAAGGGTTGTTTGCAACACATGGTGGGTTCCGGGAGCCCTTCGGGGTGGGAGCCACCCTGGGCTGAATGTCTGGGTCTTCCTCCGGGTGGGCAGTGGGCGCAGGTGGGCCTTGGGCTCCACCCTCTCAGCGTCTGCCCCCTGCCCCACCCTTGCCAAGACCCTCGGAGACTGTGAGATGGTTGTTTGCCTGGTGCAGGGGCTGGGGCCGCGATTACCGGCTTGGAAGAGGTTGGAAAGGTCGTAGGTGAGAGAGCACGCTGGGTCACTTCCGCCAGGCCCCGGCCTCTTCACGGTGAAGGGCTTCCTGCTGGGTGGTCCCCACGCCACCTGCTGGCCGGGAGACCCCAGCCCTTCCACCCACACTTAACTCAGCAGTTCTTGGTGTGTCACCGTGTGCTGGGGACACAGCAGTGAGTAGGCAGGACACGTGTCCTCCCTCGAAGGGCTACTGTGTCATCTCCTGGAAAGTCTAACCGGGGCACCAGGCTCCCCCTCCCACTGCCGCAAGCTGCGCATACGCACCTCAGTCCTTGTGTTTCCGTTCTTGGTGGAAAAGCCAGAATCCTGGGGACACGAGGCCGCCGTGGGGCGGGGCCGCCCTGCCTCACACTCTGCGCTCTGGCTGCTGGACGCCCTGCGTGCCCAGGGTGCCTGGCCCTGCAGCAGAGTTGCTGGGGCTGGCTCGCAGCCCGGCACCGCCCCATTTATGCCCAGACACTTGGGAGGGCCCCTGAGCTACTAGAAGTGCCCGCCCATGGCCGCACACCCCCTCGGGGTGTGTCCCACCCTGCCCACTCGAGGGGCCGCATGTGTAGCAGGTGCAGGGTGCTGCCCCGGGCCTTGGGGGGCGGGATACCCTCCCCCGAGCTTCTCTGTGTTACAAAGCGGATGCTGGCAGATGCTCCACCAGCTTTACAACCGACTTAATGGCTCCACTGGATAAGCAGCAGCCGCTTGCGGCGCCTACTGCAGCTGGAGCTCGGGCCTATGTGGGTGCGCCTCTGGCGGGGGGGGGCATGCCCCAAGGCCCCTGCCCAGTGGGCCTAGCAAAGGCCAGGGCAGGAGGGGCGGGGCAGCGCGCCTCTCCACCCCCGTCCCCCAGGGGCCTGGCCTCTGCCTGGGGACCCAGGGTGACTGGGCGGTGGGGAGCCGGGCTCGGGCTCGGGCTCAGCCACGCCCACCCTCCCCTTTCTCGCAGCGCGAAGCCTCTCCGGTCATTTTTTTCCTCTTATTTGAAGTCGTTGCCGAATGTGAGGAAAAAATCACTTTTGCTGCCTCAAAAGCCAAACGGAGAAGAAGGTTCTGACGTTGTGACGTGGAGGGAGTTTGACAGGCAAGTGCTCCTCTCGCTGCGAGCCGCCCCGGGGAGAGCGGGCAGGGGCCGCGGGCGGCTGGCGGGCGGTGCCTGCCCCCGGAAGCCAGCGGCTGCGGTGGCTGTCGAGGAGTTAGCCATGTCCCCTCGGGGAGGCCGTGCTCACCTGCCTCCCGCGCGCCAACTCTCAGGTCGAAACTGTACACGGCAGACCTGGAGTCGGGGCTGCACTACCTCCTGCGAGTGGAGCTGGCCGCCCACCGGAGCCTGGCCGGGGCCGAGCTGAGGGCACTCAAGGACTTCGTTACCATTGTTGCCAAGGTGTGTGGGGTGTGCCCTGCGCCAGGGGCGCTGCTCCCCGGGGCTGAGCTGTGTGTGCGTCCCCCGCTCAGCCGCGTGCGCCCGGCGCTGCTCGAGCCCTGGGGATGCGGTGCACGCGGGCGGGGGGAGCCGGGCTGGGGTGCGGCTGGGAGGGCAGCCGTGTCCGGGGCTGGTCCGAGGGGCGCTTGCCCAGGGCAGAGGTGAGCGTGGTGGAAGTGGAGAGGCGCGAGTCGGGGTGTGGCCTGAGCCACCAGCCCGGTGCCGAGGGGAGGGGGGAATGGGGAGCCTGCGGACACGGCCGCCATCCCCATCCATCCCTTCCCTCCTCGTCCATGGGGCGGGGGGTCTGCCTCGTGGCCGGGACCTGTGAGGTGGGCTGGCAGGCCCCCTGTTTCCACAGAAGGTGGAGCCGTGGCTGGCTCACGTGTTAGCCAAGTGTAGTTCCTGCTGAGAGCTCCTGGCTCCGGGATGGGAATCGGGGCTCATGGTCCTCTTCCTGGCCCAGAGCGACTCTGGGGGTCAGAGCAGTGGGAAGTGGAGGCCACCCCTGGGGTCCTGGGGGACGGACCTGAGCCCTTGTTCAAATGGCCCCAGCCTCCCATCCGACCTCTGGGAGAGCCCAGCCCGGGCCTGCCCCCACCTGCGGTCGCAGCAAGCCCGGGGACAGGGCCCTCTGCCCCTTCTGCCGCCACAGTGGAGCCCTAGTCGCGGCCGGTCACAGCTCTGAGACCTAGATGCTTGTTGGTATCCAAGAGACGAAGAGAGTTCATTTCAAAAGATGTTTTGCCTCACTCACGGTCCCGGAAGCAGCAGTCTGTGTTCAGCGCTTCAGAGGGTCAGAGTGCGCGCAGCGCAAGTTCTGAAAAAGCCCAAGCGGTGGGATTCCCGTTTAAAGGGACAGCGAGCCGCCCAGCCTGTGCCGGGTGACGGGAGGAAAGCCATTTGGACAGGTCCCAGCCCCTCGTTGGGGCAGAGTTCAGGAACCTGCGGGGACAGCCTTGTCCCCTTTGAGAATGCGCCCTGCTCACCTGTGTCGCGGGCGCTCGGCCCCCTGTGTGGTCCTGCGGTCCCGCATGGCCGCGCAGGGCCAGCCCTGTGATGTGGGTGGCCGGCCACTGCCTCAGCCGTTTCTGTAAAGTTGACTCAAACTCGGAATGAAACGCTGGTGCCTGTGGTGCTGGGCGGCCCACGTCGGAAAAGGAGGCTCCCCTGGGGCTGACCGTGTGCCATCCCGCTGTCTGTTCCGGCGGCGGGGCATCGGCCTGGCTTGGGCTGCACGAGCCCGCCCGCTCTGCACGCCTGACGGGCGCTGGGCTCCGCGCTTCCTGCGTGGAGCCGCACGTCCCCCCGCCCCCACGGTCTCTAAGTGTGGTCCCTCCTCGCCCAGCTGTTCCCCGGCCGGCCGCCCGTCCGAAGGCTGCTGGAGATGCTGCGGGAGTGGCTGGCCAGCCTGCCCCTGGACAGGATCCCCTACAACGCCGTCCTGGACCTGGTCAACAACAAGATGCGGGTGAGCCCGGCCCTCCCGGGCCCTGCTGCCGCCTGTCCTCTGTCGCTAGCCCCTCGCATGGACGCCTGCTCGCCGCAGCGTGGGTGTCGCTTCGTGTCCCCCCGCGGGTTTCCTGCCCCCGTGTCCGTGGTGACTGGGCGCTCACTCCCGCCCCGTGCCCGGTGCTGGCCGCCCCCCGCCGAGCCCCCAGGTCAAGGACCGCGGATGACAGTGTATCCCACACAGGCAGCGGCAGCTTCTCGGGCGTTGTGGTGCCAGGCCTTTTTATGTTTAAGTTTTGAGGAAACTGAATTTCACACCTAAAAACGAGTAAAAGCGATGGGCTGAGTCAGAGGCGGGCGCGTGCTGAGCCGCCACCCAGGCCCGGCGCCCGCGGGGGGTCTCAGAGAGCTCCGCACGGGGCCCGGGGCTGGCACAGCCTGCCATGCGCGCGTTGCAGTCCCCTGGGCTCCGGCAGGCGTCCCCGAGCGCGGCCGCCACCAGTCGGGGCCTTCGTCGGCTCATCCGATTCCGTCGGCTCCGTCACCTCGTGGTCTCCCCTTCGCTCTCCCAGATCTCAGGACTGTTCCTCACTAATGAGATACGGTGGGTTGGGTGTCAGGGAAGCCGACCGGAGCTGAGGGGCTACACGTGTTCTCTCTGGACGTTGTTCCACACCCTGACGGTTCAGGCCGGGACCCGCCCCGAAGCGCTGGATGACACAGGTAAGCATCCCGCGGGTCCCACGGCGCTCGCTGCGCATGCCCTGGTGCATATGCCGTCATGGCGTCTGCCCTGTGCCATCGGAAGCCTAGCAGAAGCTTGTCCTGCTGTGTGTCACCGGGTGCCCCTGGGGTCCCCTGCTCAGCAGGTGGAGGGAGCGTCGTCGTAGACATCTGCCCAGACCCCACACGGCGCCCACGGTGGGGTCCGTGCGCCCACCGCCCCGCGTCCACGCATGTGCCTGGCTGATCTGCGGGAGCTTGGGAGTGGGAGGCCGTGCTGGGGCCGCTGCAGCCTGAAGGCCTCTGCCTTTGCTTTAAAAAATAGGAGAATAAGTGAATATATGTGTAAGGGTGTTTATCTCGTGTTCTGTGACAAGTCGCTCTAAAACCGAGCTGCTTAAAACACCGCGCGCTCAGTACCTCACAGCGCCTCTGGGCCCGGAGTCGAACACGGCCGAGCGGGCCCCCCGACTCCACTCTGCTCAGGTGGGGGGTGGGGTGCGGTGGGGTCTCACGGCGGCGGGGGGGCCGCCCGGGCGCGCTCCCCGGTGCCGGCAGCAGTCACGTCCTTGCCGGCCATGCGTGCCGCAGGGTCCCCTCCCCCGCAGCTCCCCTCACAGCGCTGGCTGCCTCCAAGTGCCCGCCAGAGAGGGTGCCCTTCGTGGTGTGGCATCCGTCACTTGCACGTGCTCCGGTCCCTGGGAGGCACCGTGGGCACAGCCGGCTCGCCAGGGCGGTGTCAGAGCCGCCTGCACGGGGCGGGGGACACGGCCAGGGCCCGAGTCGGGTTTCGCCGTCTCGGCCACTGGGAGCAGCTGCGTTGGCGCTGTCGTTTTGTGTCCTGCACAGGACACCAAGGGACGTGCCGGGCGCGTCGCCCACTGTGGGCTTTGTTGTGCAGCTGCTGGCAGCAGGGGGCGGCCGCTTGCCTCCTAGCTCTTGTTTCCTGAACCTCAAATTGAGGCCTGCGGGCGTTCACATTAAATCAGAAGTGGAGTCTTGACTCACGCAGCCCAGTGTTCTTTCCAGTGAAGCTGTAAAGTTCTTTCAGTTACCTTTTGCTGCATACAAGCTGACCCACAGTGCTGTGGCTTAGAACCACCGCCCTTTGATTTGCTCACGGTGCCGGGGCCCGTTCGGGGGCTCTTCTGGACGCGTGGCGGCTTGCCTGGGCACGACCGACTGGTCTGGACTCAGAAGGCGCGAGTCCCGTAGGCCGGCCTGCTGCTCCCCGCGCTTGGGAGGGAGCTCCTGGGGCCTCCGCTGGGCCGCCGGCCTCACCTCCACCGCCCTGTCGGTCAGCCAGGCTCATCCAGCCAGACTCGACATGGGGAAGTAGAGTCACGTGCAGAGGGGCGTGAGGCCGTCTTATAAAATTTCTACCACCCCAGCTCCCTCAAGGCAACACTGGAGTTCTCCTTCCCAGGGCCTCGCGGGGGCAGAGGTGGGCTTTCAAACCAAGACTCTTAAGAATCAGGAAAAAGAGCCGCGTGGTTTTCAGGAGAAACCCCGGAGCTCCGGGATGGAAGGTGAAAGCGGGCTACCGGGCCTTGGGCCGGCTCCTGAACCGCGAGCCCAGCCCCGCCAGGGGCCTCCTGTCCCGGGGTCCTCCCTGGAAGGACGAGCACGTTGAAGGCTGCGTGGGGAGAGCCAGGGCCGCTCATCCCCAGGACGCTCTGCAGAAACGGTGCTGGCCCAGGCGGCGAGGGCAGCAGGTGGGGGCGCAGAGACACCCCGGTCTCCCCATCAGCGCCAGTCGTAGCGACGCCGCATCTCGCGCCGCAGAACTGGGTCAGACAGAGACGCTGGATTATGTCTTGGGAGGTTTTTCCTTCCTTGTTGCACATTTAAACCCTGTCGACTAAAAGCCTGCACGCCCCTAATCCCCCACAGGTAGAGCTTTGTGGTTCTTGTCCACTTTAAAGATTAGGGAGGGCCCAGCGTGCAGCGCTCTGCCGGGGACTGAGCAAAGGAGGATTACACGGTGAAGCTCGGCAGCTGTCGGCCCAGCGGCTGCGGGCAGTGGGGCCGAGGCCCAGCCCGCGTGCGTGCACAGGCCGGCCTCACCATGGCCGCCACCGGCTGCCCTGGAAACACAGCCCGGGAGAGGCCTGCTCGGCTCACACCTCTGAGTGAAATAAACGGGCCACCCGGGTTAGTGACAGACGTAGGAACATCCGCATGTGGTGAGCAGCTGCTCGGCAGCCTTCAGGGCCGCAGCAGCCTGTGCAGAGGCCCCTCGCCGGGCCCACCCTAAGACACAGTCAGCCTCTAACGCATGTCTTTTACTTACGACGTTTAATCTGTCTTACTCTCACAGGTCTGTTTGTGCACTCAACCCCTGAATTAGTTGTCTGAAGGGGCCCGAGCTGCCCTGTGGTTTTCCCGGGTCCCCAGGTCAGCTCCATGCCAGCCACTGCCTCCCCGGCCCACGTGGTGGCGCTCTCAGTGCCTCACAGCGGCGTCTGTATTCCCTGCAGGGCTGTAACCTGTGGCTGGGAGAGTCTGGGGGGCCCACACGGAGGGGCTGCCTCTTCTGGGAGGGGCGCAGGCCTGGCCGCCCTCGCGGGAGTGCAGAGGCACCCGCTGAGGCCAAGTTCCCACCCAGCTGCACGTTTGGAGCAGCCACCACAGCCCCAGAGCCTGCCTTTGGGGGTTGCTTGTGAGGCGAGAGGCGTTGCAAACGGGCTCAGACCCACAGCAGAGCCCTGCTCCCCAGGCCCTGAGGCCAAAGCCTGGTCAGAGGCCCAGCTTGGCCCCCGAGGGTCAAGCCTGTGAGGTGGGAAGGGGCGGGCGTGGGGCCTGGAGAGCGCCCGGAAGGTGCGGGCTCCCTCTGGCGTCGGTGCACACGCGAGTGCCCTCCGTCCCTCCTGGGCCCCCGGCCCCCGGCCGGCTCCCAAGACCGCCAGCGCCGCGGTTCTCGTGGACACAGCCAGACACGCGTGCGTGCCCCGTTCCTGCGGAGCCCACGTGCCCCTTCCTCGGCAGGTTTCGCAGGCGACCCCCAGGCCGTGCTGCAGGCCATCAGGAGGTATGTCCGTACCTTCTTTGGGTGCAAGGAGTGTGGTGAGCATTTTGAGGAAATGGCTAAAGAGTCCATGGATTCTGTGAAGACCTCAGACCAAGCAATTCTCTGGCTTTGGAAGAAACACAACCTCGTAAACAGCCGCCTGGCAGGTAAGCAGAAGCCACGCTGGCTGACCTGTGCCCGGTGCCCTGGCAGGGTGGGACCTGTGGGCAGCAGGGACGGCAGTGCCGCCTGAGCAGCGATGGCCCTCGCCCTCGTGCCGCTGCCTACCCCGCCGGCCCCCGAGCTGGGTCGCCTGCCCTGGCCAGACAGCGGGTTCGATGGCCTTTGACGGGAGCTGCAAAGCCAGCCGGTCCCAGGTCCCCGGTGTCCCTGTTTTCCCGGCGGCTCTCCTGGGGGCTCTGGGGCCACGAGGAGGTGGGCGTGCATCATTTGTCCCCTTTGGGGAGCCCACTAGGACCCCAGGGGGGTGGGCAGTAAAAGACTTGGGTTGTAATTAATTTTCAGGAACTACTTTTACTGTTGTTAAAATCTGCTCTCAGACTGTAAGCCAAACCCCCGAAAATCATGGCTTTGCTTAAGACAACTAAAGAGGGCGCATATATTTTCTCAGACTTAAGTAATTCAAACTGTTCCTAAATCAGTGGCAGATTAAAATTAGGCTTAAAAATAATTCCACTGAGAAATAAATCTTAATAGAGATGAATAGGAAACGTTGCTGAACTATCGGTTTTTAGTTAATCCACTGTGTTATAAACACACACTACAACGGAAGCACTAAAGAGAATTGGTTTTTCTTTGCGCTGGGAGCTGCCTGCCGCAGCCCTGGTCACGTGGCCGCAGCCCCTCCGGCATCTGCCGCGCCCTGCCCTCCGCTGGGGGTCAAGCCTGTCGCTGCGTCTCTCCGCCTGCCACCGCACGCCCCGCGGGTGTCCCCGCGGTGTCCCTCAGCGCAGCACATGGCTCTGGAGCCAGCCGGGAGCCCCTGGTGCCCCCGCGTCGTGATGTGGCAGCAGAAAGGGGCTCTCTACTGCCGTGTGACTGTCTCCTGACCCCCCACCCCCCACCCCGGCCTCTGGGTCGTGGCCCCCAGTGCTCAGAGGCCCCAGAGACCTGGCCTGGCCTCCCTGCCGGGACCGGGCATGTCCCAGGCCTGCTCCTGGGCCGGCCTGCGGGGACCTGCCTGAGTCCCGTTGCGACACCGGGACGCCCCTGCGCGACAGCGACCGGCGCCCCGGCTCCCACCTGTCGGGGGGCTGAGCAGCAGGCGCACTCAGAGCTGGGGCGGGGGGGGGCTGTGTGGTGTGGGGGGGGCGTTGGGGCAGGGCCCTGCTCGCGGGCCACCCACGGCAGGGGTGGGCGCTGTGCTGTCCCACACGCGCGGTCCCTGGCTCCCCCGCAGGGGACGGGCTCGCTCCCGCAGCAGGTCTTCCGGGCCCGACAAGGGCGCCTCGACCGGGGCGGGGCCTGCACGGCCCCTGCGCCTGCGCTGCCGCGGGGACCCCGGAGCCCGGACCGGGGAGGGTCTGTGGGGAGCCGGGGGCACTGCGCGTGGGAGGCAGAGGTGCGGTGCGGGGCTGGTCAAAGCTCAGAGGTGGGAAGTGGGCGGGATCCTAGCGAAGCCTGTAGCTGGGAGGCTGGGAGCAGGGTCTGGCCGGGTAGGTGGCACTGTCAGCAGTGGCCACGGGGACCCGCAGAGGGCGAGGGAGGGAACAGTGTCCACGGAGGGCGCGCTAGGGAACAGGCTGCAGCCTGTGCAGGGTGGGTGGGGGCGGGGGGGAACAGGTGTTGTCTGGACCCCATGGGGGGCTGCAGTGGAGGGGGGCGGGGGGCAGGCGGCTTGCTCCTGGGAAGGCCTCTTCACTGTCGCCCCCTCCCCCAGGCCACCTGAGTGAGGACCCCAGGTTTCCGAAAGTCCCGTGGCCCACCCCCGACCTCTGCCCGGCCTGCCACGAGGAAGCGAGGGGCCTGGACAGCTGGAACGAGGGCCAGGTGCTGCTGTTCCTGAAGCAACACTACGGTAGTGGCAACCTCGTGCACACGCACTCTGCAGCCCTGGGTGGCGCTGGCGACGCCACTGGGCAAGAGCGAGGCCGCAGCGCCCCCGAGAGGCCCCGAGACCCTGGGGCCCCGAGCCCACCTGCCCCCCGCGTGCTGCCCCCCACACCCAGCCTGGCAGAGAGGGCACACCCTGGGCCAGGCGGGGCCGTGGGTGGCCGGGAGGCGGAGGCGGCTGCGCCTTTTTTGGGGATGGGCTTCTCCAGCTTGGACATGAGCCTCTGCGTCCTGCTGTATGTGGCCTCCTCCCTCTTCCTGATGCTCCTCTTCTTCTTTTTCCGCGTGCGGGCCAAGCGCTGGAAGGTCCGACACCACCCCCCAGGGGTGTAGCTGCACAGGGCGGCGGCGCCTGTGGACACAGCCCCCGCCCTGCAGCCTGGACACTTCGGATCAGGGATGTAGACACACGGCGGACCGGCCCTCCCATCTGGCAGCGGCCCCTGCACCGCTCAGCGGGCACCTTGGACAGATCGCTGCAGAGCGCCGCCTGTGTTTACTCTTCCCAGCCTGGGAACGGGGCGGGGCCAGTGCTTTGCGCCCACTCTCACCTCGAGTTGACTGGACTCCCCGTCCACGCTGCGGGCCTTGTTCCGGAGTTGGAGGAGCCCCCTCACCCCGCAATGGAGACGGAAGGGCGACTGAACGCAGCCTCCCACCTGAGTGAGCGCGCACTGCGGTTGTATCTTCTGCGCTGCAAGAGAGGCCCCCCAGCCGCAGCAGCGGACCTGGGGTTGGAAGGGAGGGTGGTGGCCCGTCTCCTTCCTCAGGGACAGTGCCTTGGCTCGTCTCTGTTACTGCAGTGACACGAGAGAGCTCATTGAGGGCCACCCCAGCCTGCCTGTCCTCCCTGGATGTCCCCATTGCCGCTGCCCTTGGTGGCCCAGCCCAAGCCCCAGGGAGTGGGGCCCATGGGCTCGCTGGTGCCTCCCACCTGGACTTCGTTCACCCGCAGTAGCGTCACGAAGGTCCTGGCGCAGGGCCTGTCCCCCAGGCATCGGTGATTATTTATCGTTTAATGGTTTCCGCACATTATTTGTAACACCCAAAACAGAGGTGAGGGAGGACAGGAATTCCGCCAGGGGCGTTTCCAGGGAGACCCTGTGCCAAAGCTCTGCAGTGTCCGTGCCTGTGTGTGCGTGTGTGTGCGTGAATGCGTGTGTCACTGAAGGCGGCATGTGCTGTCTCACCGCCTCCCCCACGTTGCTGTGCTCCCCCCGTGACCGTTGATGGCGAGGGTGGATCGGGAAGACGGCTGTCGTGCCGGTGTCACCGCTGCAGCCTGGGGGACACAGACCTCGACGCCTCCAGCACTGTCATCGGCACTGTCATCGGCCGGGCACCTGCCTGAGCAGAGGGTGTGGCTGCAGCGGTGGGGGGCCCTGCCCGCCAATGCTCTGCTCTGCGGCCCGCCCCTTGCTTTTGCAGTGCGTCGTGTGCTGGCAACTGAACACCCCCCCGCCCCGTGTTTCTCCTCAAGCGGGAGATGGACGGGTGGGGTTGCGCGGAGCTCAAGGGAGATGCTTAGGGCTGCTCGCCAGGCCGCCCCTGGTTCCTGTGGCGCGCCTCTCCCCCCGACGTCTTTCAGTAGGCAGTGTGCGCTGTCCGATCTCACCGCCTCTGGGACAGTCAGTGTTGGCCTGTGTGGGTGGTCACGACTGCAGCTGGAGGTCACCGCTCCGTGAGGGACACACTGAGGACTTGCGGAGGGGCTGAGTTTCCAGCGGGCAGTGCACGGAGAGGCGATGTGTCAAGGCGGCCGCAGAAGTACACCAGTGTGCAGGCGTGAGCAGCCTCGGCGCCTGCGTGGCCTGCGCAGAACTGGAAAGTACCTTTAGGCAAGGGTTCAAGTGTATTTTCTAAAGTTGTAAATACTGAGACAATGAATATAATAGTTCGGTAATTTAAATGTATTTATTTTTAATGGAAGAATTTTGATTAAAAAGAAGCTAATTGACCTGGGAATGTCAGTGGAATTTCTTACCTGCAAGGGAAGAGAACATTTTGTACGTAAGTAAACTATAATGTGTACATTTTGAAATAAAGAAATCCGATATTTGAAAAAACGAATCCTTTTACGACATGAGCCAGCAGCGGTGGTGGCCCCTGCTGAGCAGAGGCCTCCGGACGGCAGCCGGAGGTCCGGGGAGTGGCGGTCCGGGGCGCATCGCTGGCTGGCTTGGAGCCGACGTCCGAGAGCACAGCGGCCCTCACCTCCCACGCGGCGGGGGCGGCGGCTGTGGCGGCCGCACCAGGGCGCACCTGTCCCGGGGAGCCCCTTGGGACCCAGGACTAGAGCTGCCAGCCACTCAGTCCAGACGGCAGCTTTCCTGGGCCACCCCTGCCCCCGAGCCTGATGCCCCGGCCCCTTGGGGCCGAGTAGCCGGGGCTTTGCCTGGGTCCTTGTCTGCTGCCTCAGGTTCTGAACGAGTTCGATGTCCTCGCCCGCCTCCCCGCTTCGTTCTGTGGGAGGGGGTCTCCCGTGGCTGTGTGTGTGGCTACAGTTTCTGCGGGTTCCCGTCCCCAGCCGACTGGGCTGGTAGGTAACCCCTCCCTGCTTTGCCCAGGCCCCCCCCAGAGGGCACTGCAGCCCCTGGTGGGCCAGCTGGGCAGCGCGCGAGGCGGCCGGCGGGATGCTGGCCACCCGCCCAGGTTTGAGTGATGCTGGTCTGGGCGTAGTCCCGCCCTCAGTGGCCCTCGTTCAGACCCAGGGTTCTAGAGTTCTCTTCCCCACAGTCCTGAGTGGTTTCTGTTGGGGGCACTGGGGGACTGGGGTGGGGCAGTGGCCTGGGATAGGGCAAAGGTGAGAGCAGAGGAGTTCAAAGGCAGCAAGTTCCTCGTGCTAGCAGCCGCAGTTGATGGCCTCCGGGCCACGCCAGGAGCCCGAGCCTGGCGGGGCCTGGGCTGGAGGCCGGCTGCCTGGACGCTGCCTTTTGGAAGCCGCGCAGGAGCCGAGGGGTGGAGCGCCCGCTTGCAGCGAATCCCGCGCCTTGGGGCGCGGGCGGGGTAGCAGGGACCTGGGGAGGTGGGCGGGGGAAGGCAGGGAGGCGGGTCAGGGACTGAAGGTGGCGGGGCGGGGGGCGGGGGGCGGGGGCCAGGCGCAGGGCCTCGGCCTAGAAAGGCAGGAGGCGGGGGACCGCGCGAGAGCCTCCTTCAGCACCGCGGACAGCGCCTGGGCCCAGCGGCTCCCGGCCGGCCCGTGCGGGGACGGACGCCGGCCTCCGGCCGCCCCGCACCCGACGGGAGGTCGCGCAGGAGGAGGGAGGAGCGCGGTCCTGCCCTGGACGGGTGGCAGCGATGCTGCTGGAAACGGAGCACGACAGAGACAGGCCCGGCGGCCCCACGGCTGCTGCTGCCTGCGCCCTTGGTGGGACTCGGGGTAAGAGCCCCCGGACCCCAGCCCGAGCAGCAAGGCCCCGGGGGGAGCAACGAAGGGAGGGGAGAGCCGGCAAGGGACGCAGAGGCAGGCAGAGGGACAGCTGGGGATGAGGGGCACAGCAGGGGGTGAGGGGCACAGCAGCACGGAGAGCGGAGAGGGACGGAAAGTCTGCGAGAAGGGCACAGGTGCGGGGAGGCGAGGGGCGCAGGGCCCGGAACTTCCCGCCATGGTTCAGTGGGTGGTTTGGGGGCCTGGCCCCGAGTGCCCCAGAACAGCAGGGGCCTCGCCGGCAGTGCTGGACCAAGGGCGGTACAGATCAGAGGCACCAAATTCCTCCAGAGACCTGTGCCCCTCAGCTGCCACAGAGCCCAGCCTGGACCTCCCCTCCGGCCCAACAGCCCAGCGCCTGAACCCTTGGGCCGGGCGTCCAGCCTGACCCTCCCTCCCCAGCGCTGGGGAATAGTGGGCCAGCCAGATGCAGGGCTCCCATGCCAGGGAGCGGACCCACAGCCCTCTGCCCTCCCTGCCCCTTCCCCACTCAGTCCACACATGGCCCTTCTTGGCCAGGCCTCTGCAGCAGCCGGCACCCACTGGGCCCCAGGCCTTGGTCGCCCAGGCCTTGTTCCCTGGCTGACAGGTGCCGTACGAAGCGAGGGCTGTGTGGTGGCTGCGGGGGCCTTGGATCAAAACCGAGGCACCCACAGACCCTGCATCTGGAGGCCGGGAGAGGGGGCAGGGAGGACGGGCCTTACTGTGGGGACCCCCTGGTGGAGTGGAGGGGCCTGGAGGGGGGCGTCGACCCACTCACCCCCTAACCTGGGGCCCCTGCCCTCTCCTTGCCCCACACTGCGAGGGGCCCACCCTCACTGCGATCTGACTGGTGACCGCAGGGGGCTGGCACCGGCCTGGGGCCGCGTGCCTTGGGCCCCTTGGGCAGGCACAGCTGCCCTGGGGTAGGCTCCGGCTCTCCACGCAGGACAGGTGGGCTCCAGCAGGCTCACCTGTTTGGACTGGGGCAGGATGTTGGGAAGTCAGGTGCAGGTGCTGCCTCCTGTGCAGATCGGGGTGTAAAGGGTGGAGGGAAGTGAGGGCCAATCTCTGGCTTTCCCAGCTCTGTCCCTCCTGACCTGGAGTCTCGGCTGCCTGTCCCGGCCGAGGACACTGCCCTCCTTCCCTGCCCCCTCTCAGGACGGAAGTTCCAACAGAGGAGTCCAGACCCTGTTCTGAGCCAGGAGGTCTGTCTGAGGTCGAGTCTGGCTCTAGGTGGCTTCTCCCTAGCCCTTGGGCGCCACACTCACCCTCTCTGGGTCGCGGTGGTGTTCGTGAGGACCAGACGTTGTCACCGAGCCTTCCAAGTCCAGCTCTTGAGTCTGAGCCTCAGCGGCCGTACGACCCAGCTCCCTCCCTGACCCTCCTCCCAGGATCACTCAGCCCGCGCGCGCGCGCCCGCGCTGGAGGCCAGGCCGCAGCCCGCGCCCTCAGCGCAGGGGCAGGAAGCTGAGGGGCCTGGGCTAGCGCCCGCGGGCAGCCCTAACCCGGCGCCTCCTCGGTCCTTCCCCGTCTCCGGCCGGCACTCGGGGTGGCGCCTGGGCACCGCGGGTCCCCGCGCAAAGGCGCGCCGATCTGCGGACGCCCGGGGAAGCGAGTCCCCGCGACCCCCGGCCCCGCCCCGCGCCTCGGCCCCGCCCCCTGCCGCTCCGCCCCCAGCACGGGCCGAGGCTCCGGGCCCCTGGGCGGCCCGCGGGCGCAGCGCCCAGCAGCGCTGGGAGCCGCTCGGACGCCGACCGGGGGCCACTGAGGCCGTGGCCTCGCTGGGCCCCGAAAAAGTTCGGGGCCGAATTGCGGCGGCGCCGGGCCGCGGGATCCATGGAGGCGCGAGGGGAGCTGGGCCCGAGCCGCGAGTCGGCGAGCGGCGACCTGCTGCTGGCGCTGCTGGCGCGGAGGGAGGACTTGCGCCGAGGTGGGTGCTCGGCCGAGCGGGTACGCCAGAACGGGTGGGACCACCCCAGGAGACCCGAGGTCCTTTCTCCTGTCTGAACCTGTCCGCGGGCCCCGTGGGACCCAGGCGGGAGTGGGTTCGAGGGCCCGGCTAGTGCCGCCCGGTGCCCCGGCAGCAAGTTTGTGTCGGGGCCTCCGGCGCTGCGTTGCCGAGTGTGTGGTCGGGGCGCTGCGCCGTTCCCGCCGGGAGCCCTGCGGACTCCGGGGGTTGAGGAAAACTCCCTCCCTGATCCGGAGAAGGGTGCAGACAGCGACCGGGGGCCCGGGGACTGTGGGGCAGGAGGGTCTCCAGGAGGACAGCCCCCACCTAGACCCTCAGCACTTTCCTGGGAGGAGAGTCCGAGGCAGGGGCCGGGGGCAGCTGGACCGCGTCGGTGGGTCGCCCCTGATTGGAATCTGGGCATCTGCGGAATCTGGGAATCTGGGCCAACGCGCCTGCTGTTGGGCCGCCCCGGGCTGGTCCTGTGGACCCTTCTACAGCCAAACCCCCAGCTTCTGGGCGGCCCCAGTTTCGCCCCCAGCACTTTGGCTCCGGGGAATCCGGACCGTTCTCCGAGGGCTTCCGCGCCGGCGCGACCGCGGGATGGAGCCGGAGGCGGCCTGGCGCAGTGGGGACTAGCAGGGCAGGGCAGGGCAGGTGGGAAGGGGTTTACATCCGGGCTGCGGGGTCTCATCCTTGCCTACTTATTTATTTATTTTCCGACGGTTCCTGGGAGGGGTTGGCCGCAGGGGCTGCGAGGAAGGGGTGGGAGGGCGGAGGGGGAGGGAGGGGAGGCGGGATCGCAGGCGCCGGCTCAGGAGAGCTGGCCGGCGGCGCGCGGAGCGTCCGGGGCTCTGCCGGGCCCCGCCAGCGCTGACGGCAGGAGCCCCGCCGAGGCTGGAGCCGCCATGCAGCGTAAGACCCGGGTCGCCGGGGTTCCGCGGGCAGCGCGAGCGAGGGGTGCTGCGGGGGTGGCTTTTGCCCGACGCGGGGACAGCGCGGCCGGGGCGCTGTCCGGGCCGCGGTGCTGAATCGCTCTGCGAGGCCTGTCCAGCCACCGGCGCTAACCCAGGCGCCCTCGCCGCTCTGCCGTCGCCCCCCACGACGAGGGCCGGGGCGCCCAGCGGACCCCCAGGCTCCGCACCTGGGATTGCCGTTTTGCCCGACGCGGGACCGCGTCCTTTGAGGGTCTCCCGCTGCTATGGCAGAGAGACCGATCGGTTCCCCGGCCCCAGTGGCGTCCCTTGCTGTCTTCCCACCCGCTGCCGACCAGCCTGGAGCCGGCGGGGTGCGGTGAGGGGCGGTAGCCAGGTGAGCACAGCGAGGAGGGCGCAATGTTTGTGTAGATCCCGGCTGCTGTGCGTGGCTTCTTCCTCTCTGGGAGACCTGTTCTGAGTTCACAAGGAGTCCTCACCCCGTGAGCACCATGAAGCGCCCCCCACCCCGGGCCCGGGGCTCCTGCAGCCTAGCCCTGAGCTGCCCCAGCCTGGCCTCCCAGGGGCCTGCAGTCCCGGGGGACAGAGCCTGGGAGAACCCGCCGCTGGACGTTATAACGTGGCCGTGTGCTCGGGGGCCCCCGCGCCAGAGCGTGAGGACGGCCGGCCCACGTGTCCAGTGCTCTTACAAGGACCCCCGCGGCCCCCAAGGATGGGGAGGGCGTCGGTTTTCGCCTCGCCGGCCCGCAGACGGGGCCATGGAGCTGGACGGCACAAGGAGTGTCTTTCTCACCACTGGCATGCTTAACTGTGCAAAGCAGTGAGGGCGACTGGGTGGTGGGTGCCTCCGACACACGCGTGCCTGCCTCGGGGCGATGGTAAGGACCCGTTTTCCTGCCCTGCCCCGAGAGAGCCCCTGGGTGGGGCTTTCACCCGAGCTCGGTGTGCACCCTTCCGCCGGGGCACCTCCCTGCTCACGGGCACACTTCTAAACCTATTTCCCTTGTCCTGCGTTTTTGCGGCAGGCTGGCTGTGGGCTCTGGTGCCACTACTCCCTGCACGGGGGCAGCCTGGTGGCCGCTCGGTCAACTGGGGAACGGGGTGCCCAGGGACCGGAGGCTTCCTGAGTCCCGGGGCCGGGAAGGGAAGGGACCAGGAAGGGAAGGGACCGGGTGCTTCCCGCTCTGGGAGGCGCTCCTGACCCGGTGGCCCCTTGCCCGGCAGAAACCCCGCTGTGTGCAGGCTGCGACCAGCACATCCTGGACCGCTTCATCCTCAAGGCTCTGGACCGCCACTGGCACAGCCAGTGCCTTAAGTGCAGCGACTGCCACACGCCGCTGGCCGAGCGCTGCTTCAGCCGCGGGGAGAGCGTGTACTGCAAGGACGACTTCTTCAAGTGAGCCGGGTGCCCGGCTGGGGCTGGGAGAGGGCTGGCGTCACCGCCTGGGGACCCAGCTCCCCGCAACAGCCAGGCCGGGAGTCCTGGAAGAGCTGTCCCCGGGGCAGGGCACCCTGGGGCTGCTCTGCGGGCGGCGGCTGGGCATGGCTCCCACATCAACATGCTATTTCTTTACGCAATTAATTTTGTAAGAGTGGGAACAGTCATTTAAAAAGATAGCCCCACGTGTGTAGGAGTCTGTTGGATTTACTCCCCCTGAGTTTTGGTCTTGTTTTTGTCTTTCATGCTGGGGGGTGGTGGGTCGCTTTCCGGGCGGGGATTCACTTTCCCGACGCCGCTGAGGGCGCTCTGCTCCTCAGGACCCCGTTCGCCTCTTGGTACCCTGTGCGCTCCGCCGGGGCTGCAGGGCTGCAGGACAGCGACCAGGGGCAGAACCGCGAGCCTCCCTTCCTCCCTCTGGGAACAGGCCTGCGCTGTGCGTGCTGGAGGCTCTCACTCCCGCTCGGGGCGAAGGAGCTCCCTGTGCGCTGCGCTGAGCCGCGCCCTGTGCGTCCGCAGGCGTTTCGGGACCAAGTGCGCCGCGTGCCAGCTGGGCATCCCGCCCACGCAGGTGGTGCGCCGCGCCCAGGACTTCGTGTACCACCTGCACTGCTTTGCCTGCGTCGTGTGCAAGCGGCAGCTGGCCACGGGCGACGAGTTCTACCTCATGGAGGACAGCCGGCTGGTGTGCAAGGCAGACTACGAGACGGCCAAGCAGCGAGGTCAGCCGGTGGGGGCAACGGTCACCGCGGCAGGTCCTGGTGCCCCTTCCTCACCTGCAGAAGGCCGCTGAGGCCAGTCCAGGTGGAGCGCGGAGGGACCCTTGTCTCCAGGGCTTGCCAGGAAGTGCTCGCTATGGGGGAAGCACTCGCTATGGGGGAAGCGCTCGCTAAGGGGCACGAATTGGGGCGCCTTCCCTCAGGCTGGGGCAGCGAGGGCACCCCCACGCCACGCTGCTCGGAGCTAGAGCCGGTCGGGAACAGCTCCCTGGCCCGCTGTGGGGGCCCGGGGTCTGGGGTCTCAGCAGCTGCCCCACTCGGAGCTGGAGCACAGCGAGGCTGATCCGAATTTGCAAATTATCCCCTCTCCTCTTAATTATCTCCCTCAGCCCTTGACTGTGAAAAGCTGGTCCTACCCACATGCTTAGAACAAAGAGGAGAGGGGATCGGCCCTTGCCAGTTGGGCGGTCGAGGCTGGAAGGCCAGCGATCGGGGCCGGGGGTTCCTAATCAAGGCTGCGGAGCCACCCCTGCGCCCGGACGCAGATGCCTCCACCCCATTTGCTCCCTCGCTCCCAGTGCCCGCGCAACCCGCCAGGCTCCTCTGTCCCCGCAGCCACGGCGGTCGGTCTCTGGGGGGTACGCACGAGGGGCCCCGACGTCCCCGCACACGGAGGGGGCCGGAGCGCTGGGCGGCTGGAGAAGCAGGCCCAGCCTCACGGCTCCCCCGCGGTGCAGAGGCTGAGGCCACGGCCAAGCGGCCGCGCACGACCATCACGGCCAAGCAGCTGGAGACGCTCAAGAGCGCCTACAACACGTCGCCCAAGCCCGCGCGCCACGTGCGTGAGCAGCTGTCCTCCGAGACCGGCCTGGACATGCGTGTTGTGCAGGTCAGCGCCCCGCGCTGCGGCAGCCGCCGTGCTGGCCCCGTCTGCCCTGCGGCCACTCACCGGCACCCCCTCCCCAGGTGTGGTTCCAGAACCGCCGGGCCAAGGAGAAGAGACTCAAGAAGGATGCCGGCCGGCAGCGCTGGGGCCAGTATTTCCGCAGCATGAAGCGCGCGCGCGGCAGCTCCAAGTCAGACAAGGACAGCGTCCAGGAGGAGGGCCAGGACAGCGACGCCGAGGTCTCCTTCACCGGTACGGACGGGCCGGGGCTGGCCCCTGCCCTCGTGCAGCCCTGAACTCCCGCAGCCCGAGAGCTGGCCGCCCCAGGTCCGGAAGCCCCACGGGGTCGGGAGGTTGCAGGGAGCTTAGGGACCTGCATTTCCCAGTTGGTGGCCCCTTCAGCTCTACTTAAAAAATTTATTTGTAGACCCTCATCCCCCTTCCCTGAGCCCTGTGCGTGGGCGCTGGGGACCTCTGCGCCTCCCCTGGTGGGGGCCAGGAGCCTCGGACCCCGTCCCTCAGCAGGCACTCTTATGGGGGCGGGTCCAGACCCGTTCTCTGCCTTCCCGCCCTTGCAGTAATTTTTAGGAAAGTGGGCAGCACAGTTTGGGGGTAAATGATTAGAAAGTCCAGGCTGCTTGCTGTTGGGAGGGCCCATTTTCCTCTGTGGGGCCTGATGGTCTCACTCCCTGCACCCGGCCCGCCCCGCCCCCGCTCCTTACTGCCCATCCGGAGACTCCCTGGCTGCCTGTGGCCTTAGGCCGCTCATCCGGCCCCTCTGGGCATCGCCTGGGTGGGCGGCGTCTGGCCCCCCTCCCGAGGCAGCCGCGGGGCTTGTCCTGGAACCCTGGGCCTGACAGACTGTCCTTGGCACCGTCCCACAGCGGGGGTGGAGGGTGGGGAGGGCCAGGGGAATCCCGGGTCCTGAGACGCGGGGAGGGGCCGCGCTGAACAAACGCAGGGTGGGGGGCGGGGGGTGCCCCTTCTGGAGGGAGCCTGGGGGCCGCCAGGGAGGCGAGGCGGCGGGCACTGACTGCCGCCCACGGCTCCCGTTGCAGAAGAGCCCTCCATGGCCGAGATGGGCCCTACTAACGGCCTCTATGGCAGCCTCGGGGAGCCCCCGCCAGCCTTGGGCCGGCCCTCGGGGGCCCCAGGCAGCTTCCCACTGGAGCACGGAGGCCTGGCCGGCCCGGAGCAGTACCGAGAGCTGCGCCCCGGCAGCCCCTACGGCGTGCCCCCGTCCCCGGCTGCCCTGCCGGGCCTCCCCGGGCCCCAGCCCCTCCTCTCCAGCTTGGTGTACCCTGAGGCTGGCCTGGGCCTTGCACCCACGGGGGCCCCGGGGGGGCCCCCGCCCATGAGGGTGCTGACAGGGAACGGCCCCAGCTCCGACCTGTCCACGGGGAGCAGTGGGGGCTACCCCGACTTCCCCGCCAGCCCCGCCTCCTGGCTGGACGAGGTGGACCACGCCCAGTTCTGACCACGCCCAGTTCTGACCGGACCGACGCGCCCGCCCCCGCCGGGCACCTGACTGGAAAGGCCTGGCCCGCAGCGCTGCCCCCACTGGGTGGCCCGGAGCTGCGCTCTCTCTCCTTCTCCGAAGCCCTGGACCTCCGGGAGAAGCAGGTGCCACCAGCGGGGGACAGGATGCAGACATCGCGGGCGAACGCTGGTTTCTGTGGCGCTCCCGGCCCGCAGCCCTCACCGCGCGAGCGGGGACCGCCTCGCCCGCCCGTCCCTCCTGGGACACAAGGCTGCCTGCCCGCAGCCTTGTTTTGTAAGCAGATTTCTCCCTCGCCCCACCCAGGCCAGGCCAGGCCTTAGCGCGGGGCCTCTTCCCAGCCCAGCACAGCCCAGTGGGAAGGAGCTGGGATTTCTAAAATTGAAAAAAGACTGCAGATCATGCTTTTATTTCCCAGGCTCCATCTGTCTGAGCCTGCAGCGCTCCGGTCCCCACTTTCGGTCAGAGATGCGCTGCGTCTGTCCAGGCGGAAGGCGGCCGTGGGAGGGCCGCGATGTGTCCTTTCTGCTCCCTCTGGGGGCCTCCCTGCCACCAACCCTGCCTTCCCGGAGCCTCCTCGCCCCTCCGCCCCCGCGCACAGGGCTCTAGCCCACTGCCCTGTGGAGCTGATGGCACTCCCGGGGCGGGGAGCCCTGGTCTGCAGGTCAGTCCCGCAGCCCGCACGGAGCTCCCTCCCAGCACAGACTGCGTTTCCATCCCCTCCCCCATCACAGCCCCCTAGGCCTCCGCATCCTGGCCACGCCCAGCGCCCCCATTTCCGTTGCCAAACAGCGCCCGGCCCCCCTCCCCGGAGCCGCCTCTAACTGCCGCGGGCTGGACGGCAGCCGGAGAAGGCTGGGGGCGGGGCTCCTCCGCGCCCGCCCCGCCTCCTGCCTCGCGGCCTCCTGCCGCCGTCCCCAGACACAAAGGCTGGCCGCGTGTGCGTCCCAGTCATTCCTGCAAACCTGTGTCCCGAGCTACCTGTTGGGTCTGTGAACGTCCTGTGTCTTTTATTTATTCTCTGACCATCAGCTTTTTCCAAGACTTTCAATAAATTTGTCAGTCGCTGTCGTTGGAAGGCCCCTGTCTTTAGGGAGGCCGGGGCGCAGGCCAAGGGAGTGGAAGCCGTGCGGGGTGCGGCGGGGGGAGGGGGGGTTGGGGTGGCCGCCGTTCTTTGGAAGCTGGGCGGCCATCTTGGGGCAGCTGCTGGCTCCTCACCAGGGATGGCACCAGGGGTGAATTGGGGCCCCTTTGTCCCTGGATCTTGGCCAAACTTCCCAGCACTGTTAGATGTGGGAGAGCAGACTGTGACTCCCCTGGGGGAGGGGCTGGGGCCTCCGCCGTCCCTGGGAGAGGCCGGGGCTGGGGCGCCGGACAGTACAGCTCACAGCTTGGGTGGTGATGCTGGAGTCAGCTGGTCAGGAGACCTGGGCACAGGCTCATGGGGGTCTTTCCAACTTGGATGCCAATCCCAGCCGTGTGCTCACCCTCTGTGCCACCCTGGGCAGGTGACCTGGCCCCCCTGAACCCCCTTTTGCCCTGTGGGGATGGGTGACATTCCCCTGGCAGGGGGACACAGAGGAGCCCATGATGTGAGCCTCGCCAGAGGCCCCCACTGGGCAGCTGGGCCCTGGGGCAGGTGGAGGAGCCGGCCCTGGTTGAGGGGCGGGGGAGGAGGTGGGGCTGCCACACCGGGAAGGAGGAGCAGGCACCCCCCGGGTGTCCCTCTGCCAGACAGTCAGGGGGGCTTTGGTCACATTGCCCTCCAGGCCCACCGGCCCGCAGCCTGGGCCCTGGACCTGGGACCTGGTGCCCCGGGTGCTGGGGGACTATCCCGGGGAGCCCCCAAGTCCACGAGGCGCCTTGGTACCTGGGACGGAGGCGCCAGTGCGGCCTTGGGGGGTGCCAGGCGGGGAAATGCAGGATGTGGGGCTGAGAGAAGGGGCCCTGGTGGCCGCTCCTGGGCACACTGGGGACTTTGTGAGCGAAGGTGTGGGGCCAGGGCTGAAATGTCCTGGGGGACCGGGGGAACGGCAGGCGGGCCGGTCCTGGGGGTGGCGACCTCGTTCTCTTTCTAGGGGGCTCACTGGAGCCTGGCGGAACTCCTGGTGGGATTCGGGGTGGGGGGCTCAGGCCGCCAAGGGTAGCTGGTGCCTGTGGACAGTCCTGGGGTGGGGTGGGGGGCAGCTATAAATCCCCTGCTGCCCCAGGCCGCCGGGACCCGCTTTGCGGCGCTGACAGGTTAATAAAGTGCTAAGTGTCCCCGCGGGACCTCCAAGCCGTTCGCCGACCCGCCCTCTCCCAGCAGCTGCCGCGCGTCGATGACCCCAAGGCGCTCGGTCCCGGCCCACACCCAGCGCGCAAGGGCCTGGCAGATGGGGCTCCGCGGGCCACACCCACGGTCGCCCGGCCGCTCACTGCATAACTTCCCGGCCTCGGCGTCCTGGTCCGAGCAAAGCGGTGGCTCTTGCGGCACCAAGGCCGTCAGGCAGGCGCCACCCTGGGGTCCTGCCCAGCCCGGCGGACCTGGATCCCCGAGAGGCAGAGCGCTCAGGGAGGGCCGGGGTCCCTGGCACAGGCGCAGGCGGTGCAGACCTCAGGCAGAGAGGACCTCGACCGACCGTGGGGACGCCTGCAGGCCCAGGGCTCCGAGGGGAGGGAAGAAGGCCCACGCCCATCGTTCCGGGCCCCTCCTGGAGGGGCCGCCTGGAGAGCACCCTGTTTTCCACGATGAACCCCGTTAGCCCGGTGGAGCGCCTAGGCGCATGGGGGCGTTCCCCGAGAACGCAGGGTTCCTGGCGCCCTGCCTCCCACGGAACGAGCCGCGGCCTGGGGTTGGGGCCTGGTGGGAGAGGGGCCGCCCCTGCGGAAGGGGATCCACTCAGGAGGGCCCCCCCAACGCCGGCTGGCACCCCAGGTCTCTCCCTGCCTGCCGGTGAAGGAACCGAGCAGGGAAGGGCTCTGGGAGGCAGGGGCGGGGCGGGGCTTGCGGAGAGCTGGGGGCGGGGCGGGTGCGCGTGCTCGCGCTGCGCCTTTTTGTTCCCGCTCGTTTGGGCGGGAGGCCAGCAGGGGGGCCGCTGGGCTCCCGGTGGGGGGCACCCTGGCGGGACGCGGGGCCCGCCAGCCTAGTTAACCTCTTTCGATGTGCTTGGTGACTTTTGAATCCAGCGGTTGTATCACAGTATCCAACATCAACAGCTGAATAATACAAATAATGCTTTCAACTTCTTTCCCTTTGAATATAAAAGGATCTCTTTTCTTTTAAATAAAAAATGTGCACACAAAGGACCCTCCCAAATCGGAGACAGCGCCCCTCTCTCCCTGAGGCCTGGGGACACCCCAGCCCTCCGCTCACCACCCTCTCACCATCTGACACAGAACTGCTGGTTCGTCTGGGGACTGTCCCCCCAGATCGGGACAGGAGGGGGTGGGGTCCAAACCCCTGAGACTCGCCTGGTTGAGTAGCAAGCCGATAAATCACCGGGCTTCAGAGGACTCAGCCCAGAAGCTACATCCCAGCGGCAGTAACGATCAATTCTTTAAGCCCATAATTGTTCAAATTACTCTGAGCAACATAAAACATTAATTTTAAGAAATTTAATAGAAAAAAAGCTCTTTAAATCCGCAACGAGATAAATAGCACCCGGCAGCGCGACCTTTTCCACACCTTGGTGACATTGAATAATCTGAAAGTTATTTACATTTTCATTCTTCGCGGGAGATGTTGACAAGCTTTTGGCGTGGGCGAGGTGCGTGGGGTGGGCGCGCTCCCTCCCCCCTAATTAATGGGGACGCAGCGACTTCATAAGCAGAACTGCCATCCGTCTGCCCGCGCGGCTGCGGCGACGGCCCCGTCCTGCCCGAGCCGAGGCTGCGAGGTTCATTTTTTACTGTAAAAATATTCCCTCCTGACCACCGAGCCCCTGCCGCCGTTCAAAAGCAGACGTGAGGCCAGGGAACCGCTGTCGGGGGCTGCCCTGCGGAAGGAGTGCAAGGCCAGACCCGCGCCAGCGGTGCCCCTGCGCTGGGCCAGGGGCGAGCGTGGGCCATGTCAGGGTGCCATAGCGACAGCGGGGCGGAGCTAGTCCCTGAGGGGTCGTCCCAGATGCACACGGCCTCCAGCTGCTCGGTGCCACGTGGTCCTGAGAGGCCCAGGTGAGCGTGCTCAGCCAGGTCGCTGAACGTGACAGGTGAGTCCTGTGGAGGCCCGGGCTAGGCCTAGCGCGGGGGGCGGGGGTGCCCCAGCTCCCCGCCGAGTGCTGCCTGGCCGCTGAGCCAGGTGCCAAGGGCCAGGGAGGCAGGCCCAGGGGACTGGCTGTGCTGTGGCCCCTGCAGCTGCGTGGCCTCAGGCCAGTCGCTCAACCTCGCCAGCGGCAAAGCGCAGGGAGCACAGCGCCCTTCCTGGGGATCCTGCAGGAGAGCCGGGAACCGGCGAGGCCAGGGCCCCGTCAACCTGCGGCGGCGGCTGAACCGTCTTCCTCAGGTTCTGAGGGCAGAGCCCCTGACCCAGAGCAGCAGAACCCACCAGGCCTGTGTGCCCTCGGGACGGGCACCCCCAGGCTCGGGGCCAGCACGTGTGCGCGTGCTGGCTGGCTCACACGTGTGCCCGCTCACACGTGTGCCCGCTCACCACTCTCCCCGCCACACGTACACGCCAGCTCTCACTCCCAAGCACCCCTTTCCCATGCCCTCCCAGGGCAAGGGTGCATGAACTGTGGTGGCTGGGGATGGTCCTCATGGGGGGGCACCTTCTGTCCCTTGTAACGGAGGCCAAACGCCCCTGGGCCCCCTGCCCTGGATAGGGTCAGCTCGCACTTGCCCTGAGTCAGGGAGGGCAGGCTGAGCTGGGACACCTTCCTGACTGGTAGGTGCTTCCTGCTTTTGTGCTGAGGTCCTGGGGGCCTGCTGTCCTCGGTGCCTCTGCAGGGACCTCCAACCCAGGTGCCAGGGACGGGGAACCCAGCCGGCGTCAGAGCTGG